ACCACATTAGATATGTGGATCTATAATCATAATGTATTGGGGGAAATGCCATGATGGAGGGCTTCCCAAGAGAGGTGACATTTGAGTTGGGATGAGAGGGAGAGTTTCCCAGAAGGATAGTTTAGAAAGCTGAACTTTGAAAAATGTCTTAAATATCATAAAACTCCATTTAAGAAATCTTAAAACTTAACAAATGGAATATCAGGACTGAAAAGAAAAATCATAGATACCTGTATATATCTCATAGAGATTAGAGATTAATAGGAAACTTTTAAAGAAAATTATGACAACATATTTCCCAATAGTGCAATATCCTGTTTAAGCTTTATTACTATAACTGCCTGAAATAAAATACAGTTGTTCAGAAATTATAAAACAATGGCCTCTCTGCCTTGAAAAAGGTATTGCACAAATATAGCCCAGTTTACATGTAAAGATTTCAGGCATTCAAATAATGCTAACTTCCCTTATTTATTAAGCCTATCCACAGTTATGGGGGAACAGGAATTAAAGAAATAAACATGATTAAAAAAAAAAACTTATTAAAAGTTAATTGCACTGCTACCATATGACTCAGCAGTTCCATTCCTAGGTATATATCCAAGAGAAATAAAAACACCTATATATAAAAACTTGCACACAGATGTTCTTAGCAGCATCATTCTCAATTGTTAAAAGGTAGAAACAACTCAAATGTCCATTAACTGATGGAGAGGCAAATAAAATGTGGTATATCCAGACAATGGAACATTACTTGGCAATAAAAAGGAATGACCCTTGAGAACAGTATGCTAAGTCAAGAAGGCAGTCACAACAGACCAAATATTATATGATTCCAATTATATGAAAAGTCCAGATTAGGTAAATGTATAGAGACAGAAAGCAGATTAGTGACTGATTGCCTAGGGCAGGGGGAAGGGAGAGATGGGGAGTGATTGCTTAATGGGTATGGAGTTTCTTCAAGGGGTGATGAAAATGTTCCAAACTTAGGCTATGGTGATAGTTGCATAACTCTGTGAATGTATGAAAACCACTGAACTGTACTCTTTAAATGGGTGAATTTTATTGTACGTGAAATTACATCTCAATAGAGATATTTTTTAAATTTGATTGTACTAACTTTAATCAAAAAAAAAAAAAGAGCTGGGATTTTAGGTTTAACTAAAATTAAGCACAGCTCAACTGGATTAAATTCCTGCCATCCTACTACATCTGGTGTTGGTAGGTATCTGTAGAAGAGAAGAAATGGTAGACTAAAAGCAATGGGGAGGAAAATGTATAAGAAAGACTTAAGCAGACTTTGAGAAATGAACTAATGTTCAACAACAACAACCATCACTACAAATTAAAGATAGGTTCACCATGCCAAATCTAGAGTCCAGAAATTCATATGTAATTTCCTCTGAAATCAGCAGCCCAGAATATATAATAACTGCTTCATGGAACTTTGAAATAGATACGTCTCTCTGCAGAAACACAACTGCTATCAAACAAAGCAATTTCACTGAACAGTCTAGTTTCATATTTTTGTCCCGGAGAAAGAAGAATTCAGGATGTAATTTCCAGTGACAAAATGTCAGGCCTAATGTTAATCTAAGGAGCCCTGGTGGTGCAATGATTAAGCGCTCAGCTGCTAACTGAAAGGTTGATGGTTTGAATCCACCAGCTGCTCCATGGAAAAAAACACATGGCGATCTGCTCCTAAAAAAAATTAACCCATTGCTGTTGAGTCAGTCCCAACTCATAGCAACCCTATGAGTTCAACCCAAAGTAGAACTTCCCCACTGGGTTTCCAAGGCTGTAATCTTTACAGAAGTAGACTACTACTTCTTTCTCCCATGGAATGGCTGGCGTGCTTGAACCGCCAACCTTTCGTTAGCAGCTCAGAGCTTAACCACTGTGCCACCAGGGTTCCCCGGTAAAGATTAAATACCCAAACCCATTGTGACTGAGTTGATTCAGACTCATAGCAACCCTATAGGGCAGAGTAGAACTGATCCTTAGGGTTTCCAAGGCTATAAATCCTTATGCAAGCAGACTGACACATCTTTCTCCCATGGAGCAGCTGGTAGTCTCAAGCCACTGACTTCTTGGTTAGCAGCCCAGCACTTAACCACTGTGCCATCAGGGCTCCTTCCTGTAAAGATTACAGCCTAGGAAACCCTATGGGGTAGTTCTACTTTGTCCTATAGGGTCACTATGAGTCGGAATCGACTCAGTGTCACACAACAACAACATATGAGTCAGAATCAACTCGATGCCATTGAGTCGATTCTGACGTATCGTGACCCTGTGTACAACAGAACGAAATGCTGCCTGGTCCTTTGCCAACCTCACAATCGTTGCTATGTTTGAGCCCACTGTTGCAGACACTGTGTCAATCCATCTCATTGAGGGTCTTCTTCTTTTTCGTTTACTGTCTACTTTACCAAGCATGATGTCCTTCCCTATGTACTGGTCCCTCCTGCTAACATGTCCAAAGTACATGAAATGAAGTCTCACCAACCCCGCTTCTAATGAGCATTCTGGCGTGCTTCGCCCACTCTTCTGGCAGTCCATGATATATTCAATAGTCTTCGCCAACACCATAATTCAAAGGCATCAATTCTTCTTTGGTCTTCCTTATTCATTGTCCAGCTTTCACAACCATATGAGGAGATTGAAAATACCTTGGCTTGGGTCAAGTGCACCTTAGTCCTCAAAGTGACATCTTTGTTTTTTACAACTTTAAAGAGGTCTTTTGCAGCAGATTTGCCCAACACAATGTGTCATTTGATTTCTTGACTGCTGCTTCCATGGGCATTGACTGTGGATCTAAGGAAAATGCAATCCTTGCAAACTTCAATCTTTTCTGTTTATCATGATGTTACTTATGGGTCCAGTTGTGAGGATTTGTGTTTTCTTTATGGTGAGGTGTAATCCATACTGAAGGCTATAGTCTTTGATCTTCCTCAGTAAGTGCTCCAAGTCCTCTTCACTTTAAGCAAGCAAGGTTGTGTTATCTGCATAACGCAGGTTAATGAGCCTTCCTCCAATCCTGATTCTGCATTCTTCTTCATATAGTCCAACTTCTCACATTATTTGCTCAGCATACAGACTGAATAAGTATGGTGAAAGGATACAATCAGCCTCAAAATATACCATAAGATCTCTAATGACCTCCAGTGGTTACAACTAAAATTGCTTTGTATATGACACAAGACTAACACAGCACACCACAAAGTGATTATGCATATGGTTTCTTATTTCCTTATCTTGAAAGCTGCAATGTTTGAGCAAAAGAAAACCTAGCCATTGTCTGCCATAAAAAGCTCTCCTGCCCCTTATTTTTAAGCATTCATCTTAGTGCCTATTCTTCTGTGGTCTGTCTTTACAGCCTCCTCAAACACAGCCAGGAAGGTGTCTGTCTCTTTCCAGTGACTCCATCCGGGAGATTCAGTTAACAATCCTCTATGCACCCACAGCTGTAAGCTGACAGCAGAAGCAAGTGAGTAGGTGGACATGAAGAAATGGCTGACCAAAAGAAATGGGCAGGAAGAAGTGTAACAAAGAATGGAAAGCAGGTATTACAAACTAAAATAAGCTAATTTGGTCATGCACAACTTACAGATACTATGTGGTAACCACCTAAGAAGTTTGAAGGTTAGCCTCTTCCCTAACCTCACCACCAGGTAAGCAACCAACACTAAATTGTGTCATACCTAGAGTTTCACTAAACAAATACAATAAGCCCAAATAATAAGCCATGCAATCTTCTCTGTAGGCTTAGTGAAGTCCCAGCTCTCTGTCCTTTAGGTCAAAGTTTCATTCATTTTAGACAACAGTCCAGAAACACAATTCTGTTATCTTTGTTGTTGGCCTCAGGCTACCAAAAGTCCTCCAGTCTGACACAAGGTTATTTACTTGCAGATGAAGCCTATGGCACTATCCTTAAAGGCACCTGCTACAGGCGTGGCTGGATTCTTCTACAAGGTATAGGCATGCTAGAGAACTCTCTAGAATATTTTGGTCAATCCACACCTCTTGAATACCTTTTTAATTTTACCAAAGAGAGCCTATTTCTAACATTCATCTGACTAGTTAACAAGCCACTAATTGCTCTGATATAACTAATTTCTGATATTTCCTATGCTACTAGTAAAGTGAAGCCCTGATGACACAGTGGTTAAGAGCTCAACTACTAACCGAAAGGTGGGCAGTTCGAATCCACTAGCTGCTCCTTGGAAACCCTATGGGGCAGTTCTACTCTGTCCTACAGAGTCACTATGAATCGAAATCGACTCAATGGCAATGGGTTTGATTTTGGTTTTATTAGTAAAGTATCTGGTGATAATGAAGATATTATGACCTTTCCAGTATTGTGCTAGATGACCAGCCTTGGAGTGTGAATTCCTGATCAGGGCACTATCTTCCCTTGGGTATAACTTCAACTAAGACATTCAAATGTCACACTGTCTGTGCTGAAGTATTTTAAAGTAAGTTACAAGCATAACCACAAGCGGTAACAGGAAGGATTAGAACAAAGACTCATCCACAATCATTGACCACTGTTATACAAGTCTTGCCCATAATCCTAAATGTGTTACCGGCATCATTTCTCAGATATTTTCAGATTTATCCATTCATTTAACAAACATTTATGGAATACCGACTATAGGTACCAGACGTCCACTTGGTATATAGTGTCTGTCTGATAGTTCCAAGGAGAATCAACTATACTAACAGAATGCTAAAAATTCAGTGGCTAAAGCAATTTACAAGTTTTTGCAAAAACTAAAAAGTCCCTCTGTGGCATGGGAGTATTAAAGCCCCCCAAGGCTCCATTTTACCCTCAAGGAGGAAGCAGGCACTTGAAGAGTCTGTTTACAGACTTTAAAATACCAATTGCTTAATTTCTTTTTCCTAGTGGGGGAAAAAACTCTTAAATGGTACATAGGCATTTTGCTATACTTTATTTTCTTTAAGAAAGAATGGTAATTGTCTCATCAGGCTACTTTTACCTTAATTGTGACTTAGTGCATCGCAAAAAAATCGTGAATAAGAATTCTTGGCGTTGCTTGTTGGTCCAGAGATCAAACCAATGACTTATAAGGGTAACTCTTTCCTGAAAGAGCTATAAGAACAAAAAACATTTTGCTATACAGTGCAATATATTCCTAGTTGCTAAGCAATCCTGAGGCAATCTGCTAACAATCTCACAGCTAATATTTGCGTAGCACATTAAGTTCACAAATCACTTTCATGTATGCAGTGGGGGTCTCTCGCTTCAGCTTAAACTGTTTTTATCCTGGGATATAGACGTGCTTGGGCTTGTTGGGTGGGCTGGTGGGAAAGGTTGGCGGGGGATGTAATTACAGAGGGGCCTAAGGAGGGGCCTCTCTGGAAAACAAAGAGGTAATAATTCCTGGCTCTTGTTCCTACCTAATGTGGCCTGGGGAAATACATATTCCATACATTTAATCTTGAAAACACATACAGGCTATGTTCATTTCATCGTGAAAACAGGACCATTTGAGGTAGGTATTATTTTACTAACCCACAGCCCTGAATCTTCATAAAACTTGCCCAGCTGAAAGTTCATAAATATTGCTGAGTAGCCATTGTAATTGTGTCTCAGAAAAGACATAAACACCAAGGACCAGCATCCCCCGAAACCTGGGTTTCAATTCAGCTTTTCTCAAATGAACATACACAAGCTCACTGCATTTATTACTAGATCAGGCTTTAGCCCCAGCCCTGGTTAGTCTCCTTCTCTTGTGAATGTGCCTGAACCACATGTGAGCTCTAAGGACCCAGCTGGCCTTCTCCATTAAGGCCTAGCAGAACTGCCATTCAATGACTACTTCCTGCATTATCTTTCAAAGGAGGGGGCACTCCCAGGCCACACGAAACCAAACGGTTGGGGCAAAGGGAAGAGAGGATAAAAGAAGCACACTGAGAAACATACATTAACACTCTTCCCTGATCACCACCACCAAAAGACCTTCCTCTTCTCTCCTCCCCCATTACAGCAACCCGGTGTGTGTCCTGGAGGTCTCCATTTTGATTCTGCGGATACAGAGTGAAAGGAAAGGCAGACCTTGAGCCTCCTGTAAGGTAGGGGTTGGATGAGAAGAGACTGTCTTTGAGGCAGACAAGTCTAGGTTTAATTTGTTTAAAGAAACAGACTCAAAAATGAAATCCTTTAGAGAATATTTTAAAATATGGCAACATGAGACCCTCTATATCAGAGTAAAATTAAACATATAAATTAAATATGTCTTATTCTAGAGTATATAACTCACCTGTCTATTTAATGACTTGTTGCTAAAAGGTGTCCAGGCACTGAATCTTGTGTGGAAGCTCTCCATTTCCAAGGTTTTCATAGGAGACTCCCCAGTTGACATCTCAGTAAATTCTTTTCTTCCAGTCTTAGGAACTACAGGTTCATTTCAATAGATATTTAAGGTCACCTGGAAACAGCCAATATATTAATGTTGTCCTTGCAGGAATTACATCAATTCATTTTTAGATTTCACATATATATATACATATGATCATTTTGAAGGAGGCCTGGTGGTGCAGTGGTTAAGTGCTTGGCTGCTAACTAAAAGGTCTGTGATTTGAATCTACTAGCTACTCCACAAGAGAAAAGACCTGGAGATCTGCTCCTGTAAAGATTACAGCCTAGGAAACCCTATGGGGCAGTTCTACTCTGTCCTATAGGGTCGCTATGAGTTTGAATTAACTCGATAGCATTCAACAACAAATACAGTTTCATGGCAGATAATCCATACAGATACAGGGAGTCCATGAATGGCAAATTATTGCAATTATTCTGCCTTCATCTCCCTGCATCCAAATCTGAATCTAAACCAGAATTTCTTTTACTTTGCTAGGAAAATGAGAGGCAAAAAGAAAAATTTCAGAAAGTGCTATTAATAACTGAGGAATTGGTGTTATTTTTTACCAGCCCGGAAGACTGACTTTTTCATTCCCCAGAAAGCAAGAATCTGAAGTACTTGAAGAAACCTCTTATTCCATCCTGCCTGTCTTCTGAGGACACAAGTCAGAGGATATAAAGGAAAAAATAGGCTAATGTGTTAGTTATCTTGTGAGTCCCTGAGTGGCACAAACAATTAAGTGCTTGACTACTAACCAAAAGGTTGGCAGTTCAAACATGCCCAGAGGTGCCTCAGAAGAAAGGCCTGGTGATCTGCTTCTGAAAGGTCATAGCCTTGAAAACTCTATGGAGCGGTTCTACTCCGCAGCACATAGGGTTACCATGGGTTGGAATAGACTCGACAACTGGTTTGGTTTTGGTTTTATTAGTTATCTATTGCTGTATAACAAATAACCCCAAAATTTAACAGTGTAAAACAACAAATATTTATTATCTCAAGGTTTCTGTGGGTCAGGAGTTCAGATGCAGCTTTGAGGGGTGCCTCTGCCTCAAGATCTCTCAGAAGGCAGAATCAAGGTGTTGGTCAGGACTGCAGTCTTATCTGAAGGCTCTGAAGCTCTTTCTCATGGTTGTTGGCAGGATTCAGTTCCTTGTGGGCTGTTGGATTCAGGGCCTCAGTTCTCACTGGCTGTTGGCTGGGGTGCTCCCTCCTTTCCTTGCCATGTGAGCTCTGCACAGGGGAGTTTACAACATAACTGCTGGCTTCTATCAGAGTGAGCAAGTAAGAAAGCAAGGGAGGGTGCACAACAGGGAAGCCACAGTCTCTTGGTAACCCAACCTCAGAAGTGACATCCCATCACTTTTACCATAGTTTATCAGTTAGAAGCAAGTCACTAGGTCCAGCCTACACTCAAGGGAATTACACAAGGGCATAAACATGAATACAATCTATCACACCTCACCTTTTGGGTCAGTTCACTTGCTTTCCCACATGCAGAATATACCCCCTAAGGGAGACAACCCCAATGTTACATCTAATCAATATTTTGATCTCAGAGTACAGAAGATAAGACTGACTCACAATAGTCTCTATATGCAGATATAGCTCCTCTTGATCCAGAGACCTATGAACTAAAAGGCCCTTGTTGTTACACACTATATATAATGTGGAATAGGGAAAAGATAACTGCAATAAATATTCCCATTTGTAAGGGGAAAGAATGAAAGACATATAGAGGAGCTAGTTTATAGCAATCCTGAAATCCTGCTGCAGAAGGCTGAGGCCCAATGATAATTTTTCATCTCAAACAAGCATAATCTGTTTTAGTGCATGTTGGTGATTCTTTTGGCAAAATAATCTCTGAAAATCTATTTCAAAGTATTTATTTTGTTACAGGCAGCTCTATGTGCCATGGTTGTTTAGAGATGCTTTTCTCTCTCTCTCTAAATTTAGTTGCAGGTATTTTGAACCTATCAGGCTTACTTAGGAAGAGCCACACCCTAAGTCTTCTTTCCCTGAGTTATTTTTCCAACTAAAATATTTTCTGGGGTGCTACCTTGTTCCATTCAGAAATTCTAACAATGGAGACAGCCATACTTTTGGCTTAGCCCTTGCCACTAGGCAGAGTTTTAACACGGTCCATGGTATATATGGTGTACCACCTACTTTTCTGGCTCTCAGGTTTTTTGGTAGTATACTTGTACAGGAGCCATGATGGCACAGTGGTTAAGGAGTTGGCCCCTACCCAAAGTCAGCTGTTTGAATCCAGCAGTCATTCCTTGGTAACTCTCTGGGGCAGTTCTACTCTGTCCTATAGGGTCCCTGTGAGTTGGAATTGGCTTGATGGCAACAGGTTTTTTTATACTTGTACCACTGAAAGTATTTCCTGCCCTCCGTGGGGACATTTGTAATGGTGAAAGGCAAAAGAAATTTTAGTTGCAGCAAAATAGCTGGGGTATAAGACTTGCAAGTAAGATAGTGCAACCAGGAAGTGTGATTGGGGTAAAAATTTTTGTCTCTTTTGGCTTTTGCATCCCTAGATAAGCCTTATAAGCATATTATGGTTTCCTATGTGATAGTTTGGAAACCCTGGTGGCGTAGTGGTTAAGTGCTATGGCTACTAACCAAAAGGTCAGCAGTTCAAATCCACCAGGCACTCCTTGGAAACTCTATAGAGCAGTTCTACTCTGTCCTATAGGGTCATTATGAGTTGGAATCGACTCGATGGCGATGAGTTTTATGTGATAGTTAGGGAGCCCTGGTGGGTTTTGTTTTGTTTTGTTTTTTTCTGTCGTATTTGGAAAACCAAAGGTTCCCCAAGTAACCTAATGGAAGGTGCCATGAAAAACATCAGCAACCAAAGTCCAGTGGTAAAGATGGGCAACCACTAATTATGGGGTTTGAGAACCTTAAATATCCTGTGGTAACCATGTAGTACCAGATAATATTTTTCAAAATCCTTATTTCCAACCCAAAATTTAAACACACTCCATGACTCAGCATGCTTCCATTAATGAATATGCATGATATCCCCTACCCACTCCAAAAAAGAAAAAAATTCAAAGTATAAAATAATTGGACCTTGAACAGGTTTTAAGCAGATTTGTTGCTCAAAGGCCTTCTCGGTTTTCTTCTTTTACTAGATGATGATGTGAATCAGTTGTATCTTCCAACCTTGCAAATCCCTGAGTTTGGGGGGCTCTCTAAGTTCCTTTTCATTCCTGCTTTCAAACCAGGCAAATATTTTCTGAGCTCCTCTATTTCTTGCCATATCTTGGTAACTGCAGCCAGTAATCATAAACTCATCCCAATAACACTCATTTTTTTACCTCTTTGACTAAAGTACAAACACATTAGGCACATAATCTGCCCTTCAAGTTATCGCAGACCACAGTTTCACAATATTTTTTCCACTACATAACATGAATTGTCATCTTTCCAAGTGTTCAATGACAGTTTCATGCTACAAGACTAGACGTCAATGCTGCATAATTTAGAATGCATTGCTGTTTTTATGGCAGCACTCCACTCCTGGAACCAATTTCTGTATCAGCTAGGTTATGCTATGTTAGTCAGGAAAAAAAAAATCAAGAATTTCAAACAACAAAGTCTATTTATAGACCATTGTGGGTTCTGCTTTTTGTAGTTAGGCAGGGTGCTAGGTTAATGTAGACTCCATATAAACACAGACTTCCAAGCTCTTAGGAGCATGGAAAAATGACCAAGAAGAACCATATGCTGACCCTTTAAATTTATGCCTGAAAATTACACATCACTTCTCGCATTCATTGGCCAAAGCATGTCATATTGCCATGCCTGAGTTCAGAAGGCTAGAAAACTATAATTCTGCCTCAAACAGAGGGATGGAATATTTGTAAGATACAATCTACTAAAATTCCTGATCCGGCGCATGAACTTAGTATAATGCTGACACCAAAACTCAGGACAGTACAAGAAAGGGAAATTACACAGGAACTTTGCTCATGAACACAGCAGGAAAAATTCTATAATACCATTCTCCTTTTTGAACCCAGAAAGGGATTCAAAAAGAATAATGGTATTAGTATGGAGACAGACAAACTAGTGAAACAGAAGTTCCAAAATACATGCACACTTGATGAATGACAGATCAATGGGGACAGAATGGACTTTCCATTTATATAAAACAGATTATCTGTTTAAAAAAAAAAATTTGGACCCCTTTCCCACACTATATACACAAATACATCAACTATATGAAGGCTTTTCATATATATAAAATCAATTACACATGGTTTGTGAATTCCCAGAAGATGAACTAAGAACAATGGGTGAGGTCAGAGGCAGATTTTGGCTCAATCTAAGTGGAAAAACACATCATGTCAGCAGCTTTACCTCTCAGGAGGTCTCATTCATTACTCAAGATATTAAAACACAAGTTGGATAACCACTTCTCAGTGATATTCTAGCTAAGATTCAAGCATCAAAAAGTTCTAAGGTTTCTTCCAAACATGTGTGGCTATAAACTCCAAGAAGATAGAGAACCATGTGGCCTTGAGTAGCTAAAGAAAACTACATTGGAGAGTCAAAAGAATTTGAGAATAAAATATTTCTAATGCCTCTACTCTTATTACATTCTGTGAGACAGAAGCACATTTTCAATTTAAAATATTATGTTTTAGATGAAAGTTATACAACAAATTAGGTTCCATTTAACAATTTTTGTACAAATTGTTCCATGACATTGGTTACAATTTCACAATGTGTCAGCATTCTCATCATTCCCATTCTGTTTGTTCTGTTTCCATTTATCTAGCTTCCCTGCCCCTCCTTGCCGTCTCACTTTTGCTGTTGTGTAAATGTTGACCATTTGGTCTTGTATACTTGGTTTTTTAAGGCAGCACATTCTTCATGGGTGATATAGTTTATTTTACAAGCCAATCTATTATTTGGCTGAAAGGAGACCTCTGGGAGAGGCTTTAGTTCCACATTAAAAGGGTATCTTAGGGTGATGTCTCAGGGGTTCCTCTAGTCTCTATCAGTCCAGGAAGTCTGGCCTTTTTAGGAATTTGAGTTTTGTTCTACATTTT